ACTGTGCCACCTTACAGTGGTCTAAATTTAATTATCACTAAATAGTGAAACAAATTTTTATATGATTATATGAAGATGATTATTGAAAGGTTTTTGTTTAACTTATTTGGAAGACTTGATTTTTTGTTTTTACTATTTTTTTAATGTTTGATTTTATGTGACATATTTTCTTGTTAATTTTTTACTTGTTTGGTGTTACTTGCACTATTTGATATTTTTGTTGTTTTTTCACTTGTAATTATTTTACTGATTTAAAGTGTGTTTGATCACTGTAGTTGTGATGTGTGCTGCAGACTTCCTGCTCAGGTCTCCCTTTGCAAATAAGTTGTCAATCTCAATGGGGTTTTTATAATAAAAAGTAAATGGCCTGTACTTATACTGTATATCAGCTTTTCTAATCAGGAGACCGCAAAGTGACTTACATTACTTTATACACTGTTGAATATGGAAAAATAAAGACAATAAAATGAACATGAAATACTTGAATGGAATTTAATTCATTGATACTATAGAGCGGAGGTCTTCCACTGGGGTCCGTGACCCCTAGGGGGTCCAAGGTGGTACTGCATGGGGGTCGCAAAAGTTTTGGTTGATTAGACTTTTTTTCTATATTCCCCCCTGCAATTTTTCCCACTAATTGAAACGTCTTTAAATACACATTAACATGAATTCAACACACTGTAGTAAACAGATAAATGGAGGCAGAAGATGTCTTTCAGTCATCAATGTACACATTCAGCGACACACATGAGCTCTTTCAAGCTCGGCAAAGGTTCATTCACAACAGCTGTCCCATCAACCAGGAATCAGAATCAGAAATACCTTAGTAATCCCAGGGCGAAATTACTTTCATTACATGACTCCATCAGTATTAGAGTGACTATAGGGCCAGTTTGATATAACCCAGTTTCATACAATACATACAGTATAATTGGGGGTCCCTACTCCATCTCACCATCAGTTAGGGCATTCTTGGCCTGGAAAACGTTGAAGACCCCTGCTATAGAGGATAGCATCTCTTTTGTTTAAACTGTTTTTTTTTTTGTTTTTTTTTTTCAAACTGTTCTTTAAATACCTTGTTCTTCCTCCCCCCTAACATGAAATGTTTGATTTGAATTTCAGATGAACACAATTGCTCAAGAACAGCT